TTTATGTAATTAATAGAGATAATTATGGCCAAACAACCATTAAAAGGGCATACTTTCGAAGATGTGAAAGATAAAAGTTTCATTAATTTATTTTAAAATTTCCAACTTAGCTAATATGAGTAGAAACTTCATAATATAATTCAAAATTCCCTTTGAAAAATTATTTTTCTAAACTTTAACTACAGTTCTTTCAGGTTGTCAGCTTAACAAATCATATGTGTTGTGTTCTATGAGAAATTTTTAAATTTTAACAGAGTTAACTAAATGCTCAATTTTAGTCCATATATATATATATATATTTTTTGCTAGAAAAAATAATTACATAAGACTTAACTAAATAAAATTCTTAATCATTTTTTTAGAAGTAAAACAGTCTTATAAAACCAAATGAAAATACATTTAACTAAAGGTTAATTTAGAATTTGACAAGAAAATTCATGGTCAGTTTTGAAACACGTGTACTATATCAGTAAATTTCAATACATCTTAGCACCTTTCATATATTTGATAACGTATCTTCTGAACAAGTATATATCAAATATAAATTATATACTCACCATTAAAAATAAATATTTCCAAACATATCAAATAAGTCATGTGAAATCTAAAAACAGTAACTGAATTATTTAAAAAATAATTTGAATCTTTTGTTAAAAAATATATATAAACTCGACCAATAAAACATTCCTCAATTGAAATGACGTTATTATAATTCGCATATAATGGAAGAAGTTCCATTTGAAAATATTTTGAAGTTAATGTTTCTTCTTACATTTCGTACATTTTCATATATTTTAGTATTAAAACTATTTAATTACAGCATATAAATTTATGCTAAGAGTAAAAAACAAAATTATGTGTGTGTTGGCAGGGACAGTCACTCCAAGAGTCTACAGAAGGGGTCAGTAAGGTGAATTAAGTGAGTAATTGACTTGAGCATTTGGTCATCTCTGGATTCGGAGCCTGCATGAGTTTCTAGCGATTTTCACCCTCTCAACTTGATTTGCAACCTCATAAACATGGTAAGTTAAAATACAAATATAAAATGACAAGAAACTAGAAACATAAAAATATAAAGAAGGAGAGAGACATATATATATATATATATATATATATATCTTTATATATATAATTTTAATATCTATACAGTGAGCAAAATTACTTAAAACATGAAAGCTTTTAGAATAATTGACCAACAGAGACTAAATAGGTGACTTTTCAACTCATTTTTAAAATTGTGTTCTTGTTTTCTCAAATATAGGTTACAATACAACAAGATATGTTCTGCAGTATTAACATTCTGATGACATGAACGTAAATATATGACGATCAGTTAAATTAAACCTAGACAAATAGCTATTAAAAAGTTTTCCTGTAAGAATCTGGAACAACTAAAAATCAGTAAAAACACATTTCTTTCCCATGCTAAATACTTCTAGTGGGGCAACGGTCCTCTTGGCCAACTGGTTCGCTCTATCATAGCCAAGATTTTCACTATGGCCCCTAACATAAGGAACGTAAATTTCAGAATTTTCAAAGTAGTACAGAGGGGAGTGAACTTCCACACAACAAATTTTTCTGTAGAGGTAATATTGCACAAATTACGGAGTGAAGAGAGCGAGTAAGTTGAAATGCACAACATTATTTATAATATAAAAGATGCATAGTGTGTCATGAAATTAGTAGTCGTATTTTTTTTTGTTACGCAGGCCACTTCTTGTTTTAATAGACGCTTGACTTCTTCTAAAAGCAGCCACTGCTTCTCGACCAAATATTAATTCAAGTTATGATATCCATAAATGATTTTTATTATTGTAAGATATTTATGATAGAATGATAGTTCGTTTTCATTAAATCATTCTTTATTATTTTAAATTTTATTTAGTAGTATATCGTGTAAACACTTAATAGGAAATACATAATTGTTATTCAATGAATGGAAGCAAAATACATGATTTATTCAAGGAAAGAGATTTTTTTTAAATTTAATTAAAAGATAGTAAGAAAATATTTTGTAATGTTATGTATCACTCTAATAGTTTTGAGCACCTAGTATTGTTGCTAATGATTAGAAACAAAGCTCAGTGTTAGAGTTAGTATAGCAAATGATTATTTATGACAAAAATAGGTAGAATTTATGTATTTTTTTACACTAAAAGAAAGGGAAGACATAGATTTGTAAAACCATTAGACTTTCCTTCATATGATCAAAATCGTATATTTTTCAAAATATCTATTGAAAAAGGTATAATGATATAGTGATTTTTTATACAGTATAATTACAACAAAGATTTTCTAACCAAGCTTAAAGCATTTACAGGAACTTTTATTTTTAAATACTGTTTAAACTTTTATTTTTACCAGCTGTTTAAACTTTTACTTTTAACAGCGGTTTCTTAATTAGTTTGCTTATTTTTAAAAGTTTATAATGCTCAATAGATAAAATAGAAGATTTTGTTTTGGAATCTTTTCTAACTCCTGTTTTTCTAAATTGTGAATAAATTTGCATCTGAAGGACTCTTGACATAATTTGTATGTTCTGCAATTTTTTTAAAAAATTCTAAAAAGAAAGTTATACATTATCTTACTTAAGTAAAGTACTAAATCATGCATCAATTTTCAGACATAATTAATGCAATTTTTGACACTTTTACATTGATACTTTTAAAGAAATCCTTTTTTAAAAATTTTGAGATATTTTTCAAGACTTGTACTAAGAAATGATCCGTACTTTAAAACATGGTTATAATTAATCGCCATTATGTTATTCGATGCTACAGAATGTTTTGAAATAAATTTTTATCTAAAAAATTAAAGATATGCGGTTTTCGTTTTTTAATTAATATACTTTCTTTTTCTTTTCTTTTTAAGATTTTCTTCTTTGACACTAATATAAAATCTTGACGGCATTAATATACTTTAGTGAAACCGAATTAGGTATAGTAAGAGCTATGAAAAATGTGTAGCGCTGCGCAACGTTTATGCACAAGTGAAAGCGCTGTGGTAAATACATATATAGCGCGTACTGTGGTCGTTCTGATTTAGTTGTTGGAATTACCAGTATTGGTAAACTGCCTGATTTAGACGCCTTTGATCACGGAGAAATTGCAGGTGCACAACGCATGGGCTATTCAATTTCCGAAATCGTCAGACAGCTAGGATTTTCATGGTCCACAGTGTCAAGAATATACCAAGAATACATGGATGGTGGACAAAAAGCTAGAGATCGGACAAACTGCAAGCGACATTTAGCCTTGACAGTACGTGGTGAGAGACGGCTCAGTCATATTGTACGCGTTGCCAGCGAAGCCAAATATTAGCTCAAACTACTACCCAGTTGAATGACGGTGCAAGTCGTACAGGCAGTAAATGGACTGTGCAACGCTCGTTTCAACGTATGGGTTTCGGAAGCCATCGACCTACGAGAGTACCATTGTTCAATGTTCGTCATCGAGCTGCACGTCTTGCTTGAGAAAAAGAGCACAGAGACTGAAGTGTAGAGGACTGGAAACGAGTAGCATGGAGTTATGAGTCTGGATTCTGACTACTTAACGCCGACGAGAGGCTGAGAAGATGACGTCATACTCATGAAGGCATCGATTCTGCATGCCAGGTTGGAACTGTACAAGAGCACAAGGGAACTATACAAGGAATGGCTCAATCATAGTCTGGGGCGTTTCATCGTGGTACTGTTTGGGATCTTTGGTGCGTGTACCAATCTCTCTCCATGTATTTCGGTACGTAGAGTTGCTGGATGATCACCTCCATTCGTTTATGCTGCTCTGTTTTCCAAACGGTAATGGAGTTTTCGAGAAAGACAACTGTACCTCTCACAAGTTCCGGTTGGCCCCTGGCTGATTGGATGAGCCTTTCTCTGACTTTTCCATCATAAATTGGCCACCTAGAATCCCAGACTTAAATCCTATTGATCACCTATGGGATGTTGTGCAACAAGGCGTGAAAGGCCATCACACAGCCCCAACGAACCTTACTGAATTATAGTCAGCTTCAGCCAATATTTGACAAATCATTCCCTTGAAACGTTTCCAGGAACGTTGAATCTATGCCTCGACATGTGGCAGCCGTTATCTAGTCCAGAGGAGGCCCAACTCGATACTAGGTAAGGATCCCTAATTAAATGGCACTTCAGTATATTTTAAATTGTTTATTTACTTATGAAAAGGCAATAACAAACTATAAAAGACCATTTTAACATTAAACTAATGTAATTTAAATGTCTATTATTGAAATATATATATTTCAAAACATTTTAATAATTTTTAATTTTGTAAGTAATTTTGTGTAAAATTATTTTATTTAAAAAAAGGAACTAAGATGTTTCTTCTTCCTCATTATTTTTCGCAGAAAGAATTCAAATTTATAACAAAAGGCATTATTTTGCATAAATTACACATCACTTAAAGAGAAAAATACTTCTTTTGTGTGATTACGTCTTCAATTTCTATGTAAATATAAATAACGTGAGTTTTTGCACACTTAATGCATTACCAATATTCTTGCAAAGATGTATCAAAATGTACGAATTTGGAGTTCTCTCTCTCTCTCACACAAAGAACTCATATTTTATTGAAGTTATACTTCTTTTGGGGAGTTAGAGAAATAGGATGAGGGTAAATTTTTACAATGCGGGCGCACCCCGTCACGGATGTGACGCAGAACCATCACGGATGCTAAAATCCTTTGTCTAGAAATATACAGAACGGGACAAATCATTCCCGCCCCCTCCCCCCCTTCACAATTCTCAGAAAAATATTTCTCTTTACTTCCCTGAAGAAGGAGACAGCCGGTTTTGAACCGGAGACCGCTCGATCTGCAGCCGAATCTGCAGCCACTGAGCTATACATCCGCGTCAGCGAACCTTTGCTTTGCGTTCCGTAGGAAGGGATACGAAAATGAGATTTGTCTAGAAATATACAGAATGGGACAGATCATTCCTGCCTTCGAAATTCTCAGAAAAATATTTCTCTTCACTTCCTTGAAGAAGGGGGCATCCGGGTTTGAATCAGGGACTTCTCGATCTGCAGTCGAATGCTCTACCATTGAGCTATCCCTTCGCGTCAACGAACCTTTCCCTTGCGTTCCGTAGGAACGGATACGAAAATGCTTTGTCTAGAAATATGCAGAACGGGACAGATCATTCTCGCCTTCGACCCCCTTCCCATATTATTGGTCCTATTGTCCCAGTGCGGGGGGTGTTTAAATTTATTTAAATCGTGATTATCTCGGGTTTGGCTGGTCCGATTGACTGAAGGTTAGTATCGTTCAACACTGCTCGTGACCACCTTCCGTTTTTGGCCCAGCTTGCCCTGCTAAAGATTTTTAGAAAGATTTTAATCTTGTTACATCAAAGAAGTATAACTTCTTACGTGCATACACAAGTACACACACACTTTTTTTTACATATTTTAATGTCTCTAAATCATTTTAAGTCTGCAAGTACTAATATTACAACTAGCCATAGTGTGTTATTTTAAACTTGCATTTTTTTTTTTGGCCGAAATTACAGGTTTTACAATTATAGCTTTCGCAATTAAATTATCGTCTCAATTAAAATTCCAATAAAAAGCACTAAGCAAAAATAAAATTTTGTAATAAATAAGTGATAACTTGATTCATAAATGAAACAATTTACTCAGTTATGTTAAATGATGATGTAGTATATTCTTTTTTTCACCCAAAATATAGCTAGTGTTGAAAAACATGCATATTTTTAAGCCAATATTTTATTTTTCTCTTTATTTGGAAAGCCATTTAAAAAATGATACGAAAATTAATTTGCACAAAAGTTATCTGAAGTGGGAACACATTCAGTTAGAAAAAGTGTAGTGGACTTAAATTACTTTTTTTCCTTAAATTTCTTCTTTCTTACTCTAAAAGGGTAACCGAATATCTTAAAAATGCAATGCAGTCCTGAAACGCGTGCCTTACAAATACAATAGGACAATTGAATGTATTACAGATACAATAAGGCCTTGGAATATGCAATAGGGTTTTAAATATACAACAAATATTTATAATTGAGACTAGAAATATGTAATAATTGTACAAGGTTTTCAATATGCAACAAATATATTAATACCATGAATTATTCTACAAATGAATGTTCTAAAATGTTGATAGCTTCAAACATAATAGAGTATTTGATGCATTTAATAATATCGGTTCAGAAATTATTATCCAGTTGGAATACACTAGAATTTACATTACAAAATAGTAGTAGTTTGGCACACCTATAACTGCAAGGTATTTCCGTAATGAATTTAAACCAATTTTATAAAGTTATAAATACAAAACACACTCGTAATAAATGCTATATTATTGTTATACTTTACTTCTACACACACACTTTGTATTCGTGGCCGTGGTAGCCTAGTTGTCAAGGTATCGGATCGTGGCCGGCTTGTCACGAGTTCGAGCCGAGTTCCACTAAAGACCCGCCATGTAGAGGAAGCAATGGACGCTAAATCCGTCCAGAGCTCAAACACCCTCCAATTAGTGTGGTGTGGTAGTTAGTAGAGGGTGTGCCAGCTCAGTGGTGTCGTCCTCGTCACTTGAGCATGGTTCCAAATTATGAAGTCCGTCACCAAAAAAGCCCTCATGTAGATAAACAGTGCGACGTTAATGTTCACTTACTCTACTTTGTATTCACAATTCTTTGCTCGTTAAAATATTTAAAGAAACTTGCTAGAGAGTATTATTTTTGTTCAAATTAAACTGTTTTTCAATTTTGACTTCTCATCATTTTGCTTACAGGAATTTCTTTTTTGAGTTTTGGAATGTTATAATGGATTTCTATATAAACGAAACAGATTTCAAATGAAATTTTACAAGCTCGACCGACAGAAATTTAAACGTTTAAATTTTTAAAAAAGCTTTGGAAAATTTCAAAAAAAACCCTCATTCTTTCTTAATCTTTTAATAGGAGTTATTTTCGTAGCATTTTTAAAAATGCTTAGCCTTTAAGATCAGTAAACACAAGACCAAATAAAATTAGAGATTGGATTTACAAGGGCTTATTTAGCTTTGGACCAAAAATAAAATGTTGATATCTATCTAATATTCAGCAAGAAAGCCAAGTATCTAATAGTTCTTAGTTTTATTTTTAAAAAAATATTCATTTTATTGAAAAATCTACTTCTCTAATTTTGTTACTTACATTTTATAAAACACAGAAAAAATGGATAAGTAAATATTTATGAAATGAAAGTAGCGTTTTAATTACAATTATGTTCAAAGTTTCACTATAAATTTTCCAAAAAACTGAAATTCGTTAATAAATCAGTGAGAACTTAATCCTTTAATCATTTATATTAATAACTTTTACTAAATCTAATTTTAATTCATCAAACATATATATTTAAAAGCGTAATAAGGACAAAAGAGAAAATTTTCTGTGTTTATGAAGACCAATTATGCATTATCAAATAGCAATATTTACCAAATATTATAATATTATTTTATGCAATATTTAAAGAATTAGAAAAAAAAAAACTTATTTTTAGGTTCTGTAAATGGTTTCTTAAAAAAATCTTACATACTTTTGTCCTCAGTAACATTAGTTAAATAGGAAAGCTATATATATATATAAGAACTCAGGATTTGGACAAAGTGAAATAAACAAAAGTTTTAGTAATAATTTTTTTAATGCTTTACTTAATAGTTACTCGGAAAAAATGCACTCTTTTCATGAAAGAACCTTTTTACAAAGTTGAAAGTACTGTTTGACAATTTTTGCTTAGAAAAGCACAGAAAAAAAGAATTCCTGTTATTTTATTCTGTCACTGAATACACACTTTCCGGGTGTTTTTATTTTTTATCTTTTTTATTCTTTTATTAAATTTACAGTTATTTTTTTGTCTACATTGTTTGAGTCAGAACCATTTTTTTTTTAAGAAATAAAACACGTGATTCCATTTACCTAGAGATGGCAAAATATTACTTTTACCTAGAAGAGAGAGATTCTGAATTAAATTTTTGTAGGATTTTGAAGTATTTCATTCTCATAATTAAATTTTGTAGTGCCTTTTTTAGGTATTCGATTTTAAAAAGTAAAAAGTTTCTTAAAAAAAAGGAGCATTTTAATTCATTTTATTTTTTGATCAAAAGCATTATTAGTAACATTAAATGACGATGACACTCCATCTATTTCTTATTAAACGCTAAAACACAGTTCTTGGATTGCTGTATAATATATAAGCATTCCAAAAAAGGCTTTAAAAGGAAAAGCATATCTAAGCATATTATAGAAGATTTCAAAGAAAGTAGTGATAAATATGCCCTAAAGTATATACACTCTATAACAAAAAAAAAACGATGCACCAAGAAGGAGTTGCCGATTGTAATGAAGTTTCGTATGCAAAGACATTTGTACCAAATATGCAAATGATTAAAATTTGGTGCACAATGAATAAATAGCTGGAGCTACAGCGCATCGGAATTGCGCATTCAGCAGGTGTCTATAAGAAGCGATTTTCAATGCGATAGACAAAATTTCTGTTGTAATGCGATTTAGAATACATTTCAATGACTGAAACCTTTCAACGATGCCTTGCCGCAGGATTCCAGCTCATTGCGAATAACTATCAGAGTTTTAAAGAGGTCGTATTATTGGATTGAAAGAGGCAGATTGGGCAAATCGGAGAATCGCTCGTCATGTGGATCGAAGCGATACGGACATTAGAAGACGCTAACAAGAATGGGTGGACAATGGCAGATTTCAGTGTCATGATGGTAGCGGTCAACCTAGGGCCACAGCTGATCGGGAAGATAGATTGATTACCAGATCAGCCGTCACAGTGCCTAATTCATCGTTGTCAACCATCAGAAGTGCGACCCGTACATGAGTGTCCATCATGACCATTCACAGACGCCTGATAGTGCGAAATTTACGCTCGTACCGATCACTACGCCACCTGCCACTCACGCCTGTATACTGTCGAGACAGATTACAATGGTGCTTGGATCTATCAGATTGGACTAAAGCTGAACGAGGACGTATAGTTCTTAGCGACGAATCCCGCTTCCAACTGTGTCATGACGATCATCGAAAACGTATATGCAGACGCCCAGGGTAGCGTGCCAATCCTGCTTTCAATTTTACACGCCACACAGGCCCTCAACCGAGAGTTATGGCCTGAAGTGCCATTTCCTTTGACAACCGGACCCCTTTGGTCGTCATTAGAGGCACACTTACAGCACAGTGGTACGTCGACGATATTCTGAGAACTGTTTTGTTACCATTCCTTTTGCGGAAACCTGACTTTATTTTTCAGCAACATAATGCCAGGATTTTTACGGCACATATTTCTATGAACTGTCTTACAGCTTGTCAAACACTTCCTTGGCCAGCCAGATCGTCAGATTTCTCTCCAATCGAGCATGTCTGGAATATGATGGGAAGGTGACTGCATCTACCAGAGAATGTTGATGACCTGTACCGACAATTGGAGCAAATTTGACAAAAAAAAAAAACGCAGGAGAACATCAGGGTGCTTCATCACTCTATGCGACATCGTGTCGCAGTTTGCATCCAGGCTAGATGTAGGTCAACACCTTATTGAGTTCGTTACTTTGTAACTGTGTAACTCTGAAATAAATAGTTCCATTTTTCTGAAATTGTAATCATGTTCTGTTCTATACATAATCTTTCTACCCACCAATTTTTGTCCCTATCGGATAAATCGTTCTTGGTGTGTCTTTTTTTTTTTGTTTTTTTTTTGTTTTTTGTTATAGAGTGTATATGGAAGCCAAATATAGTAGAAAAAATTCCAAATAATAAATTAAGTACAAAGGTATATATATATATATATATAAGTAATAATTCCAATAATTTAATTTTTAATAGCTCTTGATTTATTCATGGTCCAGTCCTTCAGGACAACCGTGTAATTTTTTTAATTAGTTACCCGTCTAGCGTAGACTTTTGGAATTAGATACATCCACCCACCCCCCAAATTATGTGATGTCCCGCAGGATATAAATACCGAGATCATTGGAAATCCCACTCTCTTTTGTCTTTGTCATTAATCATGTAGCCGGCTGCATTGCGTTGTAT